TAATGGGATTAACAGTGGATTCCACAGAGTGGCTCTTCTTCCACTGGATTCCAATTGGAATTTAGAAGTCGATTATCGTACTACGTAAATTTAAAACAGGGGCGGATCCATGGGTGGCAAAATAGGTGACAAATCCCCCCCCCCTTTTGCTCAAATTTCTCAGTATATCGTTAGTAGCAGTCACCCCGCCCTCCCCCCTTTTCCTCGAATTCCTGCTAAAACCCCATTTTTAAAATTACTGAATCCGGCCCTGATAAATCTCTGCTAATGAATAAAATCTACTGCCTGCATCGATCTCAGACGGATCTCAGTATGTTCCGTGGTCCGTCAATCCTCGCTTTATCAGTTCCCTAGGCAGCGCCCATCAGGGCTCGCAAATTACGTCTATACAAACTACGGCGTATAGCCTGGACACAGTCTTGCAAACAAACCGCAAATCATTTTAATTAAACAAAAAATATATAACAACAACAATGTTTCCCATTTCCAAAATGTTTCTATTGATGTTTTTCGTCTGAGAGCAGTTATCTAAACTCGATATACACCTAATAATACACCTAGATCGATTGACCAAAATACATCCATGAGTCGTTCAACTAAACTAATGACACCACACAACGTTTATTTTTTTACATTTTACTTTCTACAATGATTTTGACTTTAAAAAATCAGAAAGTGCCATATCAAACATTGAGTGTCGTATTTTCCTGTGTCTGTTGTCTGCGGGCAGACCCATGAGTTAGCATCGTCCTCGTATCCTTCCTTGATTTTCCAAAAAATTTTCTTTTTTTACATGTCTTTTTTTTCTTTCTTTTCTTTTCTTCTTCAAAAATGTTCATGTCGAATTCGTTATAAAACGACGGCCTTTTTGTTTGCTGCCTTTCCGCACAATCCAAATATGGAATTGATCATACCATATATGGAGTGAGCAGTTTCTCTACTCCAAATTCGACACTAACATATAGAGTAAACACAAGTGCAAAAAAATAGAGAACATAGGAAATTTAAAAGCTATAGAACGAAATGGAGAGAATAAAGAAAGTGTTCTCTTCTTTAGTTTGTTTTTTCTTTTGCATTAGCACTTATCTCCTTCATGGCCATGAAGTTATGCCGTGAAACATTTTAGACAAACGTTAAAGGATCCTTTAATAGACCGTTAAGGTGCAATGTTTTCCCATTTCAGACCACGTGTCATTCCCTTGATAATAAGATTGTTTGAGTTACATCCATATTTCTGTGTCTCAGTTCTCGTATGCAGCCGTTAAACAAACAAATTGTGATACTCCTAGGAATGACACGTTGTCTAAAAATGAGTAAATATTGCACCAAGAAGAATAAGTTCTATTGAACTGGGATCGGGATTGCTTATATAGACCCTTTGCATTGATTTCCTAGAGGAATTATTCTGGGAGACAAAACTGATAGGCTGTCTTTTCAAGTATGCAAAAAAAATCCATTGTTCAGTGACCCCGGAACAATTCCTCTAAGTACTCAATGCAATGGGTCTATTTTTGCAGCGGCAAAAACGAGATTTTGATTTTTGTGATCTTTGTGATTTTGGTCACATAGAAAACAGAATCACTAAGTTGAAATTTGTAATTAGCTAAGCTTTAGGCTTGAAAACTTTGTATTTACACTTTTCAGTTGTCAACGCTACAAGACGAACATGTGTTTGATTAAGAAAAATTCCCGTGATACCGAGCAAAAGTTGAAAGTGCCTGAGGACAACACCATCTGCCTATTTCCTTACATCTCGGTACATTTGGATCAAATATATTAAAGGTCGTAAATTGAAAACACCAGGGCTCACAGTGAGATATTGGGTTGTTGTAAATTGGCGTGACCCATCGTATGAATTGTACTGATTGATTTTGGAATGCACCAATCAACACTAATTATATCTAAGTTATGGATCTGAATCGGAATTGGGAAAACTTCTGCTTCGATTTGTCTGATTTCCTTAGGCATTGGTATTCTTTTAAATTGGTAGATGAATGAGAAACCGACAGATGACAACGTCATTCTCGGCGAAATACCTCGGGCTAATATTTGAATGGAATCTGTATCAGAGTTGTATTGAAATCGATACTTTGGGCTTTAATGTTCCCAGTTTTTTTTTTAAAGTCAAGCTTGCTAGACCGGCAGGCATGCATACTCGCACAACGGTGTTAATCCATTCAACTAAACGCGCGCGAAATTTGAGCTCTTGTGAACAATGTCAGCTGCCGTGAACGGTTTGTTTTTAATGCAATATACAGACAATTCAGTATTGACACTAGCTTTGATTACAAATTATTCCCGGTTAAGATTGTATTTTTTATGACCTGCCCTCTTTGCATAATAGATAAACAAGAGATACGATATTGTTCGTTGTGAAAATGGAGCTTCAACACGGTGAAGATTCCTTGTCAGAGCCTTCTTTTGCACCCAAACGAAAAACCAGTCCACGATTTTCAAAATGCAACGCGATGTTAACCGTTAAGATTGTGATCATTGTCCTTCTCATCGTAGTTTCGTTCATGGCAGGATATTTAGTCCGAAGAGCAATACATCAGGATAAAAACAACGCCAACGCGGACAGAGAATGTCAATATAAATCACCCAAAACGCTCGACGAAACTCCTTTGCAGGAAATGCTTTCCAACTTGTCGCCTAAGAGCATTGAAACAACACTGAGGTACTCATTTATTATCTTATCAATATTTCAAATCATTTGCTACTCAATCATTATTCTTTGCCAATTTTCTTCTTTTTCGCTCTGCAACTTGGCTACTAATAATTGCTTGCATCACCGAGGGAAGTGTCTATTGCTTCCAATAAGAGGTTCGTCTAATTCAGTTTAGTTCTACGACCGGCTATACGACCCGTACCTTCACTATTGAAGCCACTGTCTAAGCATGATAAATGGATCTACATGATACAGCAAGTACTTGCAGTTGATAAAAATAATTTTTCTAATAATCATAAAAACTTATCACCCTTTTAATTTATCTTTCAATATTTCGCATCCAGGGATGCATTCAAGGCATTTTGGGAATTTGTATAGACAAATAATTGCTTTAGCAGCCAAGTCTTTGTCAAAATTTTTTTTGAAGATAAAAAGTTATAAGTGGTAGTACGTGTGTTTTTCTTTAGGCTAACGATCAAGATACGCATCAACTATAATATGTTTGACAGTCGTAAGACACTTGTTCATGGCCGTAACGGTGTGATGGACGCAACAGCAGGCAATATTTTTAAAGATTTCAATGAATTGAAGTGATAATGATTTACACCGTCTTACGACTGCAGCCGTCATCCAACGAAAAATCTTTTTTTCTAGGTGTTCTTTATGTATATATGAAGGCATTAGTTTTTAGATCTTTCAGCACCTTTTGTTATGGTTCACCTTTACCTGATACACTCAAAAACTACTCCGATTACTCGTTAAAATTATACCAAAGACACCACCTCACATCATTAAATCTTTTTCCATTCAACTATATTGTATAGAACGTCGTTTTGGATTTTTTTATAATCATTAAATCCGCACAGGAAAGAAAAATTCTTCAAGAACGTTCACTAGTAGACACGGTTTAGTTTCACCAAGGCGCCAGTTAGATTATCTTTTAAAATGGTGTAATAGTTCTAAGAAACGAAACATATGGTAACATCGTAAAAACTTTTTTAATTAATATTTTAGACTAATGCTGCCTAATTATGAGATCCTTTGATCAGATTGTATAAATGATAAGGAAACTGGTCCAGTATTAACCTTTGTGGTCAGTATTGGACCCATTTATCTCCTTCAGCCATTTCACAGTTCCCTGCGCAGCAGAGTCTTCCTCGTTGGCGATTCTTGGCGATTTATTTTCTCTGCCGAGAATTGCCAACGAGCTGGGGGGAGACTCTGCTAGCAGGGACAATCCGCAGTTGCTCACTTGGCTCATTCTTTGTGTTCTTTCGTTCGTTTATTCGGTATGTTGGATATATTCAAACATGCGCATTACACATCTTGCTACGACGCGAATAATAAATGTTTTGAGCTGAGGAAAAGTTAAGCAGCTAGTTCTTTCTTTCTTTCTTTCTCTATCTCTCTCTCTCTCTCTCTCTCTCT